ACGTCCTTACTACCGTTATTTTTATGCTTCTGCTTGTGCGAGTCTGTTGAAGTAAAAGGCTGGCTTAACTTTTTTCAGACCTGACTCTATTTCAGATCTCTAAAAGGAATGCTGCTCTTATATATGAGCTCTTAAAACTAGAGATAACTACAATACAATACAGTCCTTTATTTACCCACGCAACATTTAGGAGTATTAAAGACATGTGCGTGCTAAGAAACGCACGCACATGTACATGTAGAGGCTTCAAATTCTTCGCTTTTTGGATCACCTAAGCAACATGCCGCCTTCTCGTGGGATAGCGGACAAAACCTACTCTTCTTCAGACCAAAATGACTTAAAACCACCGGAACAGAGCACTTTGACTAACCTTTGAAACAAGTCAGGCTCCATGCAAATTTTCTGGAAACCAACCTTCGCTTCATAGCTGCTGTTGCATCATTGGAATATCGTCTGGAACAAGGGCTCCACTATAATTTTAGGTAAATGCTATGGTAGTCACTCTGATCTCTGACAAGTCTCCTGTCACATCTGTTTAGTCTCGCTTGCAGAAATAACTTGTTCTCGGATCAGGTCAAGTTCGTTTTAAGGATTTCTCTTTTTTAGTGAGGTTTATGTTCTAGACCACTGGAACGATCAGGTCATAACAGATTAATTGAGGTGAGTAAGTTTAGTTGGCTTGTTCTAGCACTCTTCCAGCGTAACCCGATTTGCCTGATACACTGACAGTTAGACAAATTCCCTTGACTCGTTCCCATGGTTCTCTCCTGAAAGCCCTGGGAACCTGAGCGGCCTTTTGCCTCCGTTTCAGAACGAGTCTTCAAGTGAGACCATTGTTGGTATGAACGAGAATACGTCTCACCTGCAGTGCACGGCCATTTCAGTGTAGATCAAAGTCCTTTTGATGCGAAAAGCTTTCCTCGGTGACTCGTTTTGAAACAGAGGTAATAGACAACTCGGAAATGTCCTGTGGCAGTATTATCGACACAGGTCATCACGTTCATTACCCCTCGAAATGCCGCTGAGATTACTGGTAGTCACGGATCGGATGTCCTCCATAACTTCCCATATTATCTGGTTGTTCTAGTTTCCCCGTAGAAATGAAAATATGTGACATACGCTACCCTGTTCTAGTTAAATTTTACCGACCACATGGACATTTGGTGAATGAATGCAGTGGCGCGATACAAAAAGTGAAATGTCTGAAACAAATATAAAGGATTGCGATATTTCTAAATCCATCAAGTTGTCATCTAATATTGTAACGCGTACAAATAATGTTTCGGCGCGAAAAGAATATATTAAGTCTGCTTTCCGTATTTTCGTGACGATTGCTGCGATAGTGGACTCTCCACAAATGGGAAACGCGAAAGCCGATCTCGTAAGGGGAAAATATAACGTCTTTGACGATCACTAAGTTGACCGCTCAGTGCACGATTTGTGGTCGAAC